GGAGGTAGTTAGCAGGCAAATGATATACCCACAGGAGCCAGAGATCGGAAGCTCTTTCCCAAGATCCCCACAGGGAATCTGTTCGGCCCTCAGAGTGGGCTCAAATTCTCCTTCAGCCTCCCACTGGGTTGCCAAAGTTACGGAATTGTAGCGTCTCTGGAGAGTGCTCACGTGAATTCCGTGAGTTCTCTCCCCCACCGTCTCTTTTTTCACAGTCTCAGTTCAGTAGCACCACAAATTTACTAGCTCCTAATCTCCTGTTAATTCGCCCCGCCCAGAGTCAGGTTTTTCTGCTAGGCTCAGGGCCGGTGCAGACCTGAGGTCGCTCTGCTTATGACGTATGTCCAAGATGGCGCCTGCTCTTTGTCTTGCTCGCCCTTGAGAGGTGAGCGGAGAGAGAGAAACCCGTGTCCGTACTAGTCACCCTTTTTTCTCTCTCTCTCTCTCTTCCAGTTAGCCTTGTGAACTTCCCCCCCTCCGGGGGTCGTTCCCTCTAGTCTCCTCTCTCCGCTTGCCTGCCGGTGTCTCGGGCTATTGAGGTTCGGCTCACCTCGCGTTCCAGCGCTGGTGTGTTGAGTCTGCCGCTGATGTCCCGAACTGTGGGCTCCCACGCTCTCCACGCAGGTGCGCTGTGAGTCACGCGTTCCGGAAGAGTTTCTTCTGCTGTTTCCTCCCCTACTCTTCCTTGAACCTGCAGTATCTCCACTTTTATTAAACTATCTCTCCCCAGACTATCAGTGTGCTCCCTTCCTATTCCGCCATCTTGCCGGACCCCCCACACTATTTAAACTTACTTGTCATTTTCTTTAGAAATTATTGTCTATTTTCCAATGTAGTGTTTAGTTAAATGTGTCTAGAGAGTATCACCAATTTGAGACTTGACTCCAAAGTAAACCTAAGGAGTCTACAGTGAACCAATGAAACCGAATAAAATTTTGAATGGGGGAAAATAAAGTTTGAAGTTGGTGGTCTAAGCATATTCCAGTGGGGTAGTGGTCCTTGATCTGCACAAATTTTAGACCAACAGATACATGCCCCAACTTATTGTACCTGTCTTGACACATGCCCCAGCTTATTGTAGTTTGCATGTATTGGCATCACATTCACATTCACACTTTTTCCACTTGGATATTTCAACAGGTGTTTTGACATATTTAGACTTGTGCTTGGCATAGGGATGTCTTATAGTGTCTAAAATCGAAATATTAAATAAATGAATAAAAGAGAAATTGAAGATATCTGTAAATTTTCCATTCTCTCTTTTGATTATGATTCATATATTTTATAATTTTTTCTTATTCACTTTTGCTTTACACTAAACGAATTTATTTTGAATTTTGAAAAATGCTTAGGTTTTACATTTTTTCACACAGCAATATTTTAAAATAACTTTTTCATTTTCCTTTAATTTGCTGTACACTCTGCATGACCCATTATGTTCTATTAAGCTACATTTTCCTATCTCTTCAGTCCTAGCTTCTTTCTCCTCTTTTTTTTCCCTAAAAACATGTAATTATTTAATCTACATCTTAAAAGTCCACTGGTAATTTCACTGTAGCATGTTCAATTTACAGATTAATTGCAATTTGGTTATTTTTCCAATACTCAGCCTTACCTACTGAACATGATATGTTATTATATTTTCCAAATCTAATCTCATTTTAAAGAGGCTATTTCACATTTTCAGTCTCAGCTGTCCCACAGTCACTAGAACAGAACATTCAACCATAATCTCTTCATCTTCCCTTTTTAAAATATCCCACATCCCTGCATCTGTTCATTAGTTGTCTCCCGCATTAGAACTGTCTGTCAAACGCCAACCTCCACTAGCTCTGTGGGTCCTAGTATCATTGACCTCCCAAATATTTTGCTCCTCAGAATCTCTTTTTCTTTCTTTCTTTCTTTCCTTCCTTCCTTCTTTCTTTCCTTCTTTCCTTCCTTCCTTCCTTCCTTCCTTCCTTCCTTCCTTCCTTCCTTCTTTCCTTCTTTCCTTCTTTCCTTCTCTCCCCAGATGGCCACAATGGCCAGCTGGGCCAAGCCAAAGCCAGAAGCCAGGAGCTCCTTCCAGGTCTCCCATATGGGTAGCAGGGGCCCAACCACTGGGGCCACCTTCTGTTGCCTTTCTCAGGCCATTGGCAGGGAGCTGGATTGGAAGTGGAACAGCCGGGTCACGAATCAGCACTCATACGAGATGCTGGCATTGCAGGTGGTGGCTTTAACTACTACACCACAATGATTGTCCCCATATTCTTGTTCTCCTTGTTTCCCCACCTCATCCGGCATTTGTGTGGGGCTGCATGAATGAGTTTCAGTAAATGAAACATGAGTGTATGTTATTGGTGCTCCTTCTAAGCCACAAAACCTACCAACGAACACCGTGTTCACTTTTCCTTTCTGGAGCCAAAAGCAGGACACCCTTAAAACCCCCAGAGCAGAAATTCTGCCAGTTTTTGTTCACATTTTTAAAAAAAGATTTATTTGTTTTACTTGAAAGTCACAGTTACACAGAGAGTGAAAGAGTGCAGAGGCCCAAGCACTTGGACCATCTTCTCACTGCCTTCCTAGGCCACAGCAGAGAGCTGGATAGGAAGTGGAGCAGCTGGGTCTCGAACCAGCGCCCATATGGGATGCCAGCACTGCAAGTGGCGGCTTTACCTGCTAAGTCACAGCGCCGGCCCCTTGTTCACATTTTTGCCATTCCATCCCTTACCTAGGATTATTATAATGAGAAACAAACTTTTGGGGCTGGTGTTGTGGAACACTTGCTTAAGCCTCCACTTGGAGATAGCTGCGTCCCTTATGGGAGTGCTGGTTTGAGTTCCAGCTACTCCACTTTCTATCCAGTTCCCTGATTGTGTTCCTGGGAAGGCAGTGGATGATGGTCCAAATACTTGTACCCCTTCCACCCATGTGGGAGGACAGGGTTAAATTCCTGTCTTCTGGCTTCAGTCTGTCCCAGACAGACTTGGCAATTGTGGCTGTTCGGGGAGTGAACCAGTGGATGGAAGATCTGTTTCCCCGTCTCTCCCCTTCTCTCTTCCTTTTATAATCTTTTTTTAAAAAACAATAAAAATAATCTTCTGCCTGTTAAGCCACTGAGATTAAGAATTTACCCATTTGTGGGCAGAAATCAACAAACTGTGCCTCTGGGAGTTATCAAACCTGCCTGTTTTAATAAAGGTTTGTTGGAACACATTTGTTTTTATTGTCTATACTATCCTTATCCAATAGCAGAGTTGAATTAACTGTGATGGGGAAAGTACTGCCCACAAAGCCAAAGTACTCATTAGCTGTCTCTACAGAAAAACTTCACTGACCCCTATGTTAGAGCAACTAACGTTACCTTAATTGAAAGAATAACACCAGAGAAGATTTTTATTACATTAGGGGTGAGGAAAGCAATCTCTGCATTCCTCCCTGCCTTTGTTACCTTTGTTTCCTGCCTCTGCGTTTATTATCTGCCTCATCGTTTAGTTCTCAGCCTAAAAATACATTCTCCAGAATGCATTCTATATCACTTCTAAAAATCTATAACTATGGGGTTCCATACTCTGTTGCAATAATTTTCACCAAGTTCTGTAATGACCTATTTGACAAATTTAATAGACTGCAATAATACACAAAATCTTTGAGGCATTTGAGAAATCTTCACTAACCCTCCTCATTTGGTTCTCCTTCTGAGTCTCTGATTCCTGATGCTCTGGGCTTGATTGGTCATTCTTCATCTACCTTGAAAGGTTGGTAACTATGGAGTTTTGGAATCTCCTTGCTATCTTTCTGCAACATCAAGTCTAATCTAGGATTGCACTGTATACTTGTCCTGGAATCTTTTTACAATATGCAGTGTATCCTCAGTCTTTGTCACTCATCTGGTCTGCTTCAGGCTCACACATATGCATTTTAATAAAAACCATCTAGTTTTCTGGTTAAAACTTTTTGCACACATTCTTGTGCATCAAACTCCATTTACATTTATTTAACATTTGAATTTTTTCTAGAGCAGATCTATTTTCTTATCTCTAGCTTTATGCATTTCCTCAAGAGGTTATTTTTACAGCAACACTGGTGGCACACTTTACTGCAATGGTAATAAACAGATGAACAAAACAATCACAATGTTTACTGCCATGGAATTTACAATCTAATAGAGGACTTGGGATTCAGCAAATGACTATAAACTTTTTGTGTTCAAAGTTATCCTATTGCTTAAAAAGTAGCCTACAGTCTTTAATTTGTTAAGAATCACCAGGCACTTATTATAAATTAACATTACTGAGTTCATCTGCCTCATTCCACCTTGGGAAGAATAAAGGGAGGACAAGGAATATGATTTTTAAGCAACCATGAACCATTGTTGATCATATAATGCAAAACTATGATTTATTTTACAAAGTTCAAATACCTTCTCAAGGCATAAAACAGTGTCCCTGACATCCTTTTCTTTTTTTAATAAATATTTTATTTATTATTTATTTTAGTGGTAGAGTTACAGACAGAGAGAGGGAGAGACAGAGAGAAAGGTCTTCCATTTGCTGGTTTACAACAGTCCAATCCGAAGCCAGGAGCCGGGAGCTTCTTCTTGGTCTCCTACCAGAGTTCTGGGGTCCAAGCACTTGGGCAATCTTCTACTGCTTTCCTAGGGTCTAGCAGAGAGCTGAATTGAAAGAGGAGCAGCCGGGACATGAACTGAAGCTCATATGGGCTTTTGGCGCTGCAGGTGGAGGCTTAGCCCACTACACCACAGCACCGGCCTCCCTGACATCTTTTTCTTACTCTTATCCTGCTTTTCATCATTGTTTCAAAAATTCACCAATCAGTATTTCCAGAATTATATGCTTGACAAATTATTTAGTGTTGAATTTGGGCACTTTTTTTTAAACATTTATTTAGCAAATATAAATTTCCAAAGTACAGCTTATAGATTACAATAGCTTCCCCCCCACCCTTAACTTCCCTCCCACCCGTAACCCTCCCAACTCCCGCTCCCTCTCCTTCTCCCATTCCATTCACATCAAGATTCATTTTCAATTACCTTTATATACAGAAGATCAATTTAGTATATATTAAGTAAAGATTTCAACAGTTTGCACCCACACAGAATTTAAAGTGTAAAATACTGTTTGAGTACTAGTTAGAGCATTAATTCACATTGAGAATTTGGGCACTTTTCAAACTAGACCCCTTTTATTACTTTGCATGTTTGCACCTCATGATTCTCCTAACTACTCACATATTATTAGAAAAATTCCACCATTTATTATTCCATAGATGCAAATTCGCAATTTCAAAAATTGTTAGAAATATTTGTACAAAAGCTATATTTTTTATATCTACATCTCAAGCTCCTAGAAACACACTTGAGATACACAAAGTGTGCATTCACAGGTAAAGGAAATCAATCCATTTGTGAAAACATATGTATTCACATATGTGCTAATTTTGCTTAGATGGTTCTTGGTTTGCTTCTGACATATATGAAAGCATTTCAAAAACTTTACAGAAAATGTAATCTGAAAAAAACATATATGAATTTCATACTTTCATTCACCTAAACAAACTTATTTTAAAGCTCCATTTTCTACAAAGTATTTGATGTGTCCTCATAATTATATGCCTTGTTTTTTAATTTTATCACTGTTGGAAATTAGAGTAGCTACTGGTTCTTCACCTTCCTCCATCCCTCCATTCCTTCTTTCTTGGTTCCTCCTTTCTTTCTTTCGTCTCATTTTCCATGTTCCTTTCTTTATTTTATTCGTATCTTTTCAGTGCCTATCAATAATCTTACTTTGTTTTTTTAGAACTCCTTTTACTTGAGATATGATAATATATATGTTGAATGGAAAATTTGTCAAACTGATCTAGGAGTATATGAAATATAAGAAACAGGAAAATAGAATGAAGAAAAAAAAGATGAAACGGGATATAAATGAAACTAACCTACAAAAAATCGCTTCTCTTTACATCTTTAACTGGTTGTAACAGAGATCACTACATACAAAAATGCTATTTTGCAATTAATTTCTTGAAAGCCTCTTTTACATCTTTGTTCCTAAAACTATAAATGATGGGGTTCAGCATGGGTGTCAGCGCTGAGTAGAACACAGAGATCATTTTGTCCCTCTCATTCATTACCTTGGAGTTTGGCCTCATGTAGGCAAATATTCCTGAGCCATAGAAGAGACCAACGACAATGAGATGGGACCCAGAGGTAGAAAAAACCTTGAGCCTCCCCTCCCCAGACTGTATCCGGATCACAGTGGAGATGATATTCCAGTAAGAGATGAGGATGAGGGAGACAGGAGCGAGGAGCATCACCACACCCATGGCAAAGATGATCATTTCTGTGCTGTAGGTGTCTGCTGAAGCCAGCTTCAGGACAGCAGGAAGTTCACAGAAAAAATGGTTAACGATATTCTTCCCTCTGTAGGGCAGACGCAGTGTGAACGTGGTGTCCACCAGGGACACAAAGGCTCCACTGACCCAGGACCCTGCAGCCAGCTGGACACACACCCAGTGTGTCATGATGCTGGAGTAGTGCAGGGGCTTGCAGACAGCCACGTACCTGTCATAGGACATCACTGCCAGCAGTGCACACTCTGTGCACCCAGCCAGGAGCAAAACGAGTATCTGTGTGGAGCACCCAGCAAAGGAAATGGTTTTCCTTTTCACCAGGAGGTGGACTAGCACCTGGGGCACTGTGGTAGTCGAAAAGCAGAGATCAGCAAAAGACAGGTTTCTCAGGAAAAAGTACATAGGTGTGTGGAGTCTGGAGTCGATGTGAAGGAGCGTGAAGATCAGCAGGTTTCCCAGCACGGTCAGCAGGTAGATGCTCAGAAAGAGGAAGAAGAGCAGCACTTGTGTCTCTGGATCCTGGGAAAGGCCCAGGAGGACAAATTCAGTCACGGAGGACTGGTTCTCCTCTCCCATGGGTGTTTATTCCTTTTTATGCGTGGACAATGAGAAAATAAACACATGACTCAGTTACTTAGAAAATTATGAATGACTTAGAAATTTTCCTAATCAGTATCTAAAGTGGGCTATTGATTTCTGCGTCTTACTAGCTGCCACAAGTCAGCAGACTATTTTCTTTTGTGCTTGGTTGTTCTGACAATCAAAAACTTTTATGATTTTGTTTCTCTTTTTAAAACCACTGTGGGTGAAATCACCATCTTTATGCCACATGACTAAGCTTAGGACAAACCGCTTCATGACTTGCAGTCCTTGGAAGATGTCAATGCTGCTTACACTGCACTCTTCCTTTATGTGGGTTTGGGAGCAAAAAAAAATCATCTTGCTTTAAATCAGTTATATTTTTATGCCACAGAAATTTGAAAACATTTATGACAGATTTTTTCATTGCAGTTATATGTTATCCTGCAGGTACACACTGGGCAAGGTGTGGAAAATTGAGGAGAAGAAAATGGCTGTGATCCAGACTGTTGCCCATATTCTTCTGTCATTCATGTTTAAGTTGTCGAGGTGCAGAGAAGCATAGACAAAAACGGCTTAACCGCTTTGATTGTATCAGTAGCATCCTTTAAATATCCCCCAATCTATGCTCTACACTCTTGTATTTCTCGTTGTACTGAGTCTGTTGGCAATAGTAATATTCATTTCATATATTGGGTGCTTTTCTGATGCCAGCCAATACTATTAATCCTTTCTTTTTATTTGCATTTTTAGTTCAATCTTCTTTAATACTGTATAAGATAGCTAACATTTTCCCTAGTAAATAGCTAATTTAAAAAAAAGTCAAAATGATTCCCAAATAGTTCTTGTAAGCCTAACTCTCAGTATTTTGTATTCTGTAACTCTGAATGAAATAAAAAATATAATTGAGAGTCATCACAATATACTATATCAAGTAGAAGAAAGAATTTCTGAACCTGAGGACGGGCCTTTCAAATGAACCCAGCCAGAGGGGGAAGAAGGGAAGAAAGTGAAGAAAGCCTGCAAGACCTATGGACACCATTAAATACATAAAATTTTGCTGTATTGGAGAAGAGGGAGGGAGGGAGGGCATGAGAGGGAGAGAGAGAGAGAGAGAGAGAGGCACACAGAGAATATATTTAATAAAACATGGCTGAAAATTGCTTTAGTCTTGGGAGACAAATGGACATCCAGCTCCAATAAGCTGAGAGATTCCCAATTACACTCAAATCAAAGCAATTCTCTCCAAGACACATTGTAATCGATCTGTCAAAACTGAAAGATGAAGAGAATCCTAAAAGTAGCAAGAGGAACACATCAAGTCATATATAATGGAATCTCCATTAGACAATAGACTTCTTTAACATTGCAGGCCAACAGAGAATGGGGCAGTATATTCAGAATGCTGAAAAAGAAGTACTGCTAGCCAAGAACACTATATCCAGAAAAGATATTCTTCAGAACAAACAAAAAAATAAAATCTTGCCTATACAAGCAAAAACCCAGGAAATTCATCACCCATAGAACCACTGTTTCATTTTCACATGTTGACTGTAGAGACACTTACACAAGTCCTCACATCCACTTCTTGCATATAATGGCAATGATTAGAGCTAATCATCCTAAATCAATGGCAGCAGTATCAGTAGATGCAACAACAGGCATCTTTAAAAAGTTATTTTCAACACTGTACATGTCTTGTCCAAATGATAAAAGAATTCCAGGAATAAATAATGAGAAAACTGACATTATTTGGTGATAATTTGACTACATGTAAAAACTAGGAATAAGAGCAAATTCAAGCCCTGCAAGTAATGTAGTACTGCAGAAACGTAGTTTGATATAAGATGAATAATTGAATATTCCTGTGTTATATGTCAAAATAAACAAATAAATATTTCAGAAAATTTTCTTCACAAGAGGAACACAATTACTAAACAAGGTATGTACTTAAGAAGAATTCACAATGTATTTGAAGAAAACTGAAATGTAATATCTGCAGTGTTACAAAGATACTAATTTTCCTAAACTAATGTATAGATTCAGTGAAATCTCATCCAAGTTCACGGGGTTTTGGGTAAAGGGATTTAGCAAGATTATTCTAAATTTTTCTAGGTAAATAATTTTATAGTAAAAATGAGGTATAAAAAGAAAAATGACGATGTTTATTATAACACTATTCACCATGGCTACAATATGCAATCAAACCAGGTGTCCATCAATAGATAAATGAATAAAGAAAATTTGGTGTGTACATACACACAAGAAACATTGTTCAGGCATAAAAGGCATGAACTACTGTCATTGGTGGCAACGTGAATGGAACTGTTGGACATCATGTTAAATGAGATAATCTAGGAACGCAGAGAAATACCACATGTTCTTACACATCTGTAGAAGCTTACAAAGTTGATCTCAAAAAAGTTGAGAATAGAATAGTGCTTACTAGAAGCTATGGAATGTGGGGGAGGAGTTAACTGGTACAAAAATAAAATTAGATTGGAAAATAGAGTTCTAATTTCTATAGCACAATAGAGTGACTATAGCTAACAATAGTTTATTGTATATTTTTAAATAGTGAGAACAGAGAATTTTGAATCTTCACTCTACAAGGAATTGTAAGTATTTGAGGTAAAAGATGCTATTTACTCAGATTTGATCAATACACAGGTATACATGTATCAAATATGACATCACATCATATGAGTATAATGGCAAATACACTAAACATTTTAGAAATAAAGTTAAAAAGGAAACTGAGAAGAAATATATCCCATAACATATAATATGTGTTATAATCTATTCTTATTAATATACTATATATTATTAATATATATTATTAATATAGTATATATATATATATTAGAAGGGAAATTGAGCCTAGTATGAATGAAACGTTAATATATGATGAAGGTATCATCTTGCGATGATTTTGAACAGTGAACAGCACTTATCTCAAATGTTAAGGAACAGATTTTTTTTTCTCATACTATTTGTTAAACTCTTTACCTAGTAAAGTTAATCTTATGTGTGTAAAGTTAATTGAAAATATGGGGCCAGCGCTTTGGCACAGCGGGGTAACTCCCTGGCCTGAAGCCCCAGCATTCCACATGGGCACTGGTTAGAGACCTGGATGCTTCACTTCTGATCCAGCTTTCAGCTAAGGACTTGAAGCTCCTGGCTCCTGGCTTTGGCTCAGAGCAGCTCTGGCCATTGTGGCCAATTGGGGAGTGAATCATCGGATGGAAGACTTCTCTCTCTCTCTGCCTCTCTCTGTGTAACTCTGACTACCAAATAAATCAATAAATCTTTTTAAAAAAATAAAGTTAATTGAAAATAGATCTTAGTGAAAAATAAGAGTGGAAATAGTAGCGGATGACAAAGAAGGACGGGAGTGGTGGCAGGGGGGGTAGGGTAGGAAGAATCACTATTTCCTAAATTATGAAAATTGTGAAGCTTGTATCCCTTAAATAAAAGATTTCTGGGTTAAAAATATTACTTAACAAAACATACTTATTCATGTTATAAAATTGTGTACCTATGTTTGTGTTCATATATGTGTACATACATACAACAACATATATGTATGCAATAATTAATCCACAAATCACTAATGGCTTAATTTTTAAAATTATCTTTCTATGAAATTACAGTCTTTTATCTGTCATCTATCTACTTTGAATCATCTGTGTAGCTATATATCCATGCAATCTTCAAGTGGTAAAAGTTTTCTAAGCACTTACCAAAAATTAGAGAGAAAGAAAAAGAAAATAGTAGTGACCTTAAAAATGAAAAATCTCACCTTTCTGTGTAGTGAATTCTACTATGAACAAATTATATATGTACATATATATGGAAAATATTTGCAAATATTTTTAGATTCCACATATAATTGAGATCATTCAGTATCTGCCTTTCTATGCCTGGTTTATTTCAGTTAATGCAATAATCTCATTTCATACATGATTTTGCAAATGAAAGGATCTCCTCCTTATTTAAGGTTGAATAGTATTCCTTTATATAATCTCCTCTCTTCCACAGGGGACACAATCCAAGACCCAAAGTGGATGCCTGAAACTGTGGATCACTCCAAACCCTATATATACTCTGTTATTATATATATATATATATATATATATGTATATATGCTAATACTCAACTTATAAATTAGGCACAGTAAGAGTAACAAAAATTGCTAATAACAGAATATTTATAAAATTAGGTATATATTCTCTCTCTCTCTGTCTCTCTAAATCTTATTGTACTGTACTCATCCCTCGTCATCCTTGATCACAGATGACTGAAACTGGAGAGTGAGACCACAGACAAAAGAAGACAGCATAAGTTTTCACTTCTTCCTTGCCAAAAACACTGCCATCACTGCCTGCCCCCTGCCACCACTCCCGTCCTTCTTTGTCATCCGCTACTATTTCCACTCTTATTTTTCACTAAGATCTATTTTCAATTAACTTTATTTTTTAAAAAGATTTATTGATTTATTTGGTAGTCAGAGTTACACAGAGAGAGGCAGAGAGAGAGAGAAGTGTTCTATCTGATGATTCACTCCCCAATTGGCCACAATGGCCAGAGTTGCTCTGAACCAAACACTGTCTAAACATCATAGACATTCACAGGAACATTCTGACTCTTTTAAGTTTAACCAACTAATAATCACTGAGAGTCAACTTTACTTTAACTTCTGTGTAAAGTTCTTTACTTACTATACAATCCAAAATTGACCTTAATCTTCACAATGTCCACAGAAATATTGTCACATACTGCCTTGAATACAGGTGTTACATTGTCCTTTAGTTAGCTCTTCACCTGTTCATCTTCTTGGACTGTGTTGCTGCTTCAGTGTGTGGTAACATATATCACTTATCTCTCTATCTGTATTTCAGTATTCTTTGACACATGGTAGAAGCTGAATAAAAGTTGGTTAAAGGAATGAATAAACGGATTCATGCTGACACTCCCACACCACCACATATACTTCTTCAAAGAAGTGTGAGTGAGAAGGTGGGGCTAGGTTTATTGCTGAGACCTACATCACTGGCCTAGAATGGGAAAATATTGACTTAGAACTCTCAGGATGGATCATCATGTTAAAGAGAGCTTAAAATCTCACTATCAACCTTGTCTCAATGAAGTAGAATGAGTTCCTGGTGACAAGGGACTAAGGACAGGAAAGCTGAATGCCTGTGCATGCAGATCAGCATCCTGGCGCAGAGGGTCCTGTCTGTTCCCTGGATTGGAGGCTCAAGTTCTGTCCTGCTCCTGCCTGCTCCCAGTGCCCAAAGTGAAGTGGCTCAATACAAAGAAGGGAGCCTTGAAGGGGGAGCCCTGAAACAGCAAGGGCAGAGCAGAATCTTCCGCCTTGGCCTCCAGTGCCTAAGGAGAGGCCATGTGAGCTCACAGCACTTACTGACACCCTGGCATCCTTGACAAAGACTCAGCCCTCTCTTGGGGAGATGCAGAACGGGATTCATAAGGAGCATCCATTCTAAAAGCCACCTGGTTAAGAGAGAGGCATAGGAGAGAGAAAGGGAAAGCCCTCCTTCACGAACAGAATCAAGCTTACAGAAGCCTTAAAACTGGATGCCTTCCACTCAGCACCGTACCCACTCTCACCTGGGGGGCTGGCATGAGACAAGTACTGGACAATGAGCGCTGAAACTGTAAGAGAGAAGTTACAGGTGAAGAAAGCTGTGCTCTCTGCAGCCTGTTTATTTCACTAGGAACCTCCGCTGTCGTTTGTCAAATATGCTGGGATTGGGAGATGATCTGACTGTTAGCTTTATTCTATCCCATCCCAAGAAGCACCAGTTTATGAAAAGATCCAGCTCAAATTCACTAAGGAACCAGCCTGGAGGATTCTAAGGTTCTAAAAGCTATTGTAAACAGGGCGTTCCCAGGAGCAATCTGTGCTGTCAAGTTTTGTAACCTTTCTACAAGGAGAGATCCCTAGGGCATTTTTTATTAAAATCCCAATCTGAAATACCTGAATCTCCTGTGAGGTCAGCTACTACACTGATGTTTCTCAAACCACCCTGGATTCTCCAATT